TCACTCTTTGCAACCTCTCCCTCTTTACTCTTACTTTCACTCTCTGTAACCTCTCCGTCTTTACTCTTACTTTCACTCTCTGTAACCTCTCCCTCTTTACTCTTACTTTCACTCTCTGTAACCCTCTCCCACTTTACTCTTACTTTCACTCTCTGTAACCCTCTCCCACTTTACTCTTACTTTCACTCTCTGTAACCCTCTCCCACTTTACTCTTACTTTCACTCTCTGTAACCCTCTCCCACTTTACTCTTACTTTCACTCTCTGTATCCTCTCCCTCTTTACTCTTGTTCACTCCCGCCTTGCTTGGGATGAAATGCTTAAAAAAGAATGCCATGCCGTCTTTACTCTTACTTTCACTCTCTGTAACCCTCTCCCTCTTTACTCTTACTTTCACTCTCTGTAACCCTCTCCCTCTTTACTCTTACTTTCACTCTCTGTAACCCTCTCCCACTTTACTCTTACTTTCACTCTCTGTATCCTCTCCCTCTTTACTCTTGTTCACTCCCGCCTTGCTTGGGATGAAATGCTTAAAAAAGAATGCCATGCTTATAGTTATTATTTTGAGTTAAGAAATTCTAAATAAAAAGTCTTTTATTTGCGTTTAATTATTTTTTGCTTTTATTTTTTTTCCTTTTAATTATTTTCTGGGTGACAAATTTTAAAAAAAGAAGAAAAAGAGGAATATATAAAACAGTCGAAAAAATTTTCATTTTTTTTTTTAATCTTAAAATAAGAAAAACTTCAATTAAAAACGACGAGAAGAGAAATTTCCATCGGGGAATTCTGGTAAAAGACGTATTGCTGCCAAAATTCTCTCATAGAATAAAAAATAGAAATGAAAAGAAAATCAACAACAATGCCCCACTCACTCATAACTCCAACAGCAAATAAATTAAATGTAAAGATTACAGATTCAGGTGGGGAAATTTTATGTTTCTAAGCGTTGCGGTTTGTATATTAAGAAAATTTAGCTACTTAATAAAAAGCTAAAGAGGGCATAAATATTCGGGTCTTTATTAATTCGGCTGTCAAAACACTTGAGAATGACACAAATGAGAGTCATGGGAGAGTAATTGTGACAGAAACTGGATGAAAACCACGATAGCGGATTTTTTTAATTAGTAACGATGGTTGAGCGGTTTATGGCACATCGATTCTTATAGAATAGTCAAACGAAACAAGTTTCTCTGGATTCGTCATGCAAAAAAGATGTTCAAATATATAGACTGGGTAACTCCACAAATTCAAGGTACCTAAATTTTAAAATGAATTTTTTAAAATGAAAAATCTTTCTTGAAGTTATTTTTGCTGTAATTGAAAGCTAATAGATTAAATTGAATACTTCCAATAAGTAAAATACTTTGCTCTATTTCAAAAGTAATTTCAATTGACTAAAAATTTTTTCTTGTTAAAAATTCTCAGTGCCATTTTAAGCCCTCGTTTAGCGAAATGTAATTCTCTTTATTAAAACATCTTCCAAAAATAAAATATACTTTTCAGAAGCTTCATTTGAGGAATATTAATGGATTTAAAATATAAATAATCTGATTTGAAACAAATATTATTCATTTTAAGTTTAAAATATCACAGACATTTTAGATACTTTGGTTTTCAATTTACTATAGTTATCGCTCTTATTTTCTGATAATGTCATGTATGAACATCCGTATCTACAAAAATCGGTACGTTTGTACACATTCTTTTAAAAAATATTGGTGTTTGATGAATTTTAATAAGTTTTTCAATTTATGATTAGTAAATATAGTTTTTCTTAATAATAATATCCTCTAAAAGTGAAATTAATACAGAATTTTAAAATATTTAAAACTTAAATTATACTAATATTTTTTAAGTGAAAACAATTCTTGAAAAATTTCATTATTCATTCAAAAAATGTTCCTTGTTAAGATAATAATGTCCTTATTATATCCTATTTATATTATATCTTATTATACTTTATTCATAAAAGCAATTAAAAGCTTTTCCAATTAAATAATTCTTAGTTTAATTGTATTTTTCAGTAAATGGTGTTTCTGTTTTACAAAAACAAAATTAATGATTTAAATTTCCCAAGGTGTTCTGCTTTTAACTAACAATAGCTATTAATGGGTGAAATTTAATTTCTCGAAATTTCATGAAATTAAATAAGTTGGGGGTGGTAAAAGATGGAAAATAGTTTTACCAAAATATTTTTTTTTAAATTATAAAATAATTTAATTCATTATGAATAAGTCCTGAAATTAATATCCAATAATTATTTGATTTTTGCAAATATTTTGAAAACAATGTTTTTATTGCAAAAAAAAGAAGCTAACATTTCCTATACTAATCATTAACTAATCCTTGAAGCCCCCCCCCTGACGCAAGAAAAAACAAGATTTTTAATCAAAATTTCGAACGTGCTAGAAAAAATGAGAAAAATTAATTAAGTAATTAAAATTTAATTAAGTAATTAAAATTTAATTAAGTAATTAAAAAATACTTTGGTCTTTCCTTTTAGCATAAACATAAAGATTTTGACAATAAAACTACATCCGCGTCCTGGGTAAAACGATAAACTACGTCCAACAGCAAGGCCTCTGATCTGGAAGTTTTGATGAGCGTGAAACTATCTCTTAACTGCTGGTGTTCCCAAGTTCACCCTGACCCGGGGTGGTAGCACCTGTTAGGGTCTGAGCTATGGGTAAATAGTTAACGCCCAAACTGTGGTCAAAACACTATAAAAATAGGTTTTAATACCGGAAATACTTTTAAAAAATACTAGCTATATATTACCAGCATTAAATAACCCATTGAGGTTGATATACCGCATTTATAGAAAAGGCACAGGAAAGCTACGTTACGGTGGTGATAATTGAAGTCGAGATACCAGGTCAGGGCCAATAACATTGCGGATGCTTCTTTGGATTTCATCAAAAATCTCTAAATACATAACAAAAGCACCCGAGCATATGTGGCCGCAATAAACAACGCATGAACGAATGGTAAACTTATAGATGTGTAAGATAGAATTTGGCGAAAAGAAAAATTGTCTAGCATGCATAGGGAACCGACTTTCCTAGCAGCAAATCTAGCAACTGATTCAATATAATCATTCCACTTTCAGCAGAAAACGTCAGGTCGAGAAGGCGCAATGAGTCACTCTCCTGGAGGTTAGCATCAGCCATATGCTAGTGGAAGACAAAAAGGGTTCTCTAAGATTATTTAAAGTGTGGATTTCGTTTTGGAAATGTTCAAATTAACAATCCATTTCTTGCCCCAGCTAACAACAGATTGTCGTTCATTTTTTAAATCAGCTGCGAAATTGGCCTTATCGAACCGATAAGACTTACTATTAAGATAGGAGTAAATAGTTATGTCACCAGCATAGATGTTGAGTTGAGAACTGATGAAATCAGGAAGGCTATTTATGAAAATTAGGAAGAAGTTAAGTCCCTGGATAAACCCTGGGAGACAAATCGAAATTAATGCAAAAGGGCTTGACAACTTTCATTTCGCTATTTGAAAGAAAAATTGAATCAGATCAGAAATTCATCCAGAAATACTATAACCTTTCACCTTTCGAAGGAGACCAGCCTACTAAACCTTAACAAATGACTTTGAGATACCCAAAGCAACACCATGAGCTTCCCCATTCTTATCTAAACCCTGATAGGCTTTATCAGCAGTTGATCTAGAGAAAAGAATGTTAACGCTTTCGCTTTGCTTGTCTGAAAGAAGATCCTACGAGGTGAGAAACTTAACCCGTTCAGAGTTGAATAGAGCCTCTAATACTTTGCCAAAAGGAATTAAAAGGCTAATAAGCCGACAGTTAGAGGGATCAGATGGTTCACCTGAGTTCTTAAAGGCTGGAACTACAGAAGAGGGTTTTCAACGAACAGGAAAGCAATAAGCAACAAGTCATTGCAGAGTTTAAATAGATCAGAAGCACGTTTCTTAAGCACTGTTGAAGAAATACCATCAAGCCCACATGCTTTGTAAGAATCCACTTGAAAGTAGGTCACATGGACGGAATTATATGCATATCATACAGCAGATACTCCAGATGAGTTCCTGGTGCTCCTGCTATTCATGTCGATATTCTTGACAAAATCCAAAGTAGGATCTGTAATGTACTCGATCCTGACCAAACATCTCGACTTCAGTCACTTTCTCACCGACGTAATGTGGCTTCCCGCTGTCTTTTCTACAAAAATTTCAATGGCAACTGCCCTGACGAGCTTTTTTCCCTGGTGCTCCGATTGCATGAATTTAAGCACACAACTAAATTGGAATCTACTTCCAACATGTTTGTTGTTGAAATAGTTAAACGCAACCACCACTTCTACTCCAACAGTTTCATTTCTCGCACTTCCCACCTGTGGAACCCCTTTCTGTTTCCTGTCAACTACAATCTTCAAAGATTTAAATGCGACGTCAATTGCCATCTTCTATCAACAAACGAAGACTTAACCTCTTTGAGAATATGTTTCAATTGTTACCAGCAGACACAAAGAGGCGTCTGTTTAGATCGGAAATATCAGTTGGTTCAACAATAAAAAAAAAATGATGCCTTTGGGCTATAGCGGCTGAACAGGTAGGTGTGAACCAAGAAGATTGGCCATACTTAAAGCCGAAACATATTTTAGATTGAAAGATTATTTTTTTGCGAGTAAATATTTATCGACAACTTTTTCAGAATAACAATCATTTTTCCAGATCCAAGTCCATAGCTGGATGGAGGAGATAAATTTAAACAAAAGAAAACTAGCGTAAAGAAACAAAGGAAAAAGTGAGAAATTCATGGGATGATAAAAAAAAAAGTCAAATGAATTACAAATAAATATAGAAAGGAAGAAAGGACAAAGAAAAAAACTAGAAAAAATTTTGTATATGAAAGAGAAAACTTATCAAAGAGTCAGAGAATTTGGATTTGGAAGAAATAGCGGGAAAATGGCACAATAAAAGAAAGAAAGAAAATTGAAAAGAGAACGAAAATTTCGAAAAAGAAATAAAGTTCTAGGGAGAGTAAATGAAAAAAAGAGTTAAAGAAAGAGTTAAAGAAAGAAAGAAAGAAAGAAAGAAAGAAAGAAAGAAAGAAAGAAAGAAAGAAAGAAAGAAGAAAAGGAAACGAAAACAATACAAGATTTCAAGAAAGGAAGTTTTTTCTAAAAATCGGTTTGAGAGACAAAAACAAATTTTTAATCGGTTTTACGAACCAAATCGAAAGAATAAAGGAAAGTAAGAAAAGAAATAATTGAAGAAAGTAAGAGCAATAGAAATGCAGAAAGACTTGTACCTTTGTTTTATAGATTTCGCAAAAATATTGGAGAAAGTAGGACATAAAGATCTGTTGAAATTGCTCAGCGATCTTGAAATATTTATGAAAGATATTAAAATAATCAAGAACCTGTACTGACAGCAATTCACCTGCATACGAAATGAAAACGAGTTCATCATATATACAAAAATAGAAATAAGTGTAAGACAAGGATGTGTCTTCTCACCGGACTTATTCAACCTATATATCGAGGCGATTCTGAAAGAATTATATGTCCTACCAGGATTCATTATTGGTGGCCACAATTTTAACAACATAAGACATGCAGATGACACAATGTTGATGGCAGACACAGAGAGAAAACTGCAAAAGCCCCTACAGAAGGTAGTAAAGGAAAGAGAAAAAGTATTATGCATCAAATGCAAAAAATGCAGAATGGATGGTTGTTAGCAAAAGGATGAGCCCAAAACACAAA